GTAGTTTTCACACAATAAAACCCCAGTCGGCTCCCTTAAATGGACAAAAAGAGATTTTTTGTGGAATTTTATTGTTTCATATTTTTTTCATATTAAAACTTTTCAAACCAGAATTGAAAAAAATGATGTAAAATAACAATCAAAAAGCCAGTTTTTCCATATATACCAGAGAAAAAACTCAATCAAGGTTTAAATCTAATTATTTATATTCCTGACACTATTTTGAAGCATAAAAAAATTTTACTTTCTTTTGGTTATGTACTTTTAGAAGTATTTTAGGATTTTTTCAAATTTTCTTTTTTCAAATAAAGTTTTACTAATAATAATGAAACTTTTGTTATCCCTTTGTCTAATTCTATTGCAACCTCAGGAATTTAACTAGAATACATGTACAATTTGATGATATAAGTGAAAAATATGTTATTTGTAGTTAATTTTTTTTCAATAAATTTCAATTTGATAGGGATTATTTTTTGAATTCACCCTACGGTGGAAATCAAAAGTAATACATGCCATCAATTGCGGCCAAATTCAAATCCAGTAACACTATTTACGTTACAGTGGGCTTTGAAAAATCATGTCATGTCATGCTGCTTTATTTCGAGTAATATGTGTCCAATCTGACAAAAACAAAATGTTTGGAAATTATAAAAACTTCATGTAATTAAAAAATTTTTCTATCAAGACAAGTAAAAATCTGTTGATATCGTTAAAAGAAAGGTGGACTTACTATTTGACAAATTATATCTGTTTTCGAATTGAATTAAGAGTTTTTGGAAAAGTAAGACGTCGCGCACGGAATTGAGGCTGATTTTGTAACGTCAAAATAGCGTCATGTAAACGCTAAAATTTCACGTCCAAGTGTTGGAATATACGTTATTTCTTGAAAATTGCGAATAATTGGTTCAAAGTGTAGCTGCATAAATTGCCCTCGTTGAGTTTAAATATAGTTCGACAATATCTATTGTATCCAACTCATCGGTGTAGTTTTCATCATCTTTAGCATCATGTTTCAATATAAATTGTAGAATGTACGTTTAAAGTACTGAAACAGCTCATTCATAAATGTAGACTTTTTTTTACACGAACCATTTTTTTTATTATCTTGTCTTCTTTCAATCTTTTTTTTTTTATCAATTATTTTATTTTCTGCTAGTAACGGGTTTGTATTTCCCTTGAAAATGGCAAGTGTGCAAGACTTCTACTTTTGATGTTATATTTCATGCGTTGTCCAAGCGCAAAAACGTTAAAAAATTGAATGCGTAACAAATTAGACTAGACATCTTTTTCCCCTCTGTTTTCCTGCAAAAGGTATTTTTTAAAAAACAGAATAGAACTCAAATCTATGATATATACGTTCTGTAAAATATCATAATACGCTTATTAGTGTCATAGTAACGAAAACGACTATAGATATCAAAATCACTCTACCAATCTCTCCAAATACTTGTTTGTCTACTTCTTGATTTTCACTTTTCAATTATCACTTTATCTTTACCAAAAGAGCTTGGTTATAGAGCCAAAATTCTATATTTCCTTATAATGTGTCATAACCATGTCATTTTACGGAATGCACAGTCGGGATCAGTCTGTAAAGGAAATTTATTAAGGAATTTTGTATGACACCGTCACAGGACGTAATAGAGGCTCTGTGCAGTGGCGGGAAAATCCATGCAGCCAAAACAAAAAAAATGAATAAAACTAATAGCTCTCATCTTTGTGTGCATTGTCGCAAGCCACGGGTTTTGTAGACACAAAACCCATGGATTGCGACGATGCTTTTTGTTGCGCAATTAAAACCCCCAATGCTCTGCGCGATGTCACAGTCGTCTCGATTTTATTTTAGTTCTTTCGAATACCAAATACCAATAAAATGTACCACAATAATTAGTATCAAAATACAATTCACACCTATAGAGTTCTAACCCTATTATAAAACTTGCAAAATGTAAAAGGTGAAGATAACGATTAGTGATCAATCTCATAAATACAGCAGACAAAACGAATCGTGAACAGGCAAAAAACATGGAAACACCAGAAAAGGGATCAGGTGCCTAGGAGGAGTAAGCATCCCCTGTCGGTCGGTCATACCCAAAGTAAACCCTATGTATTAATCAGGTAGACGGAATTCTCCGTAGTCAAATTTAGTATGAAAGCAATGACCTAACAATTACACGGTATGAAACACGGGAGACAAAATACAACATGAAACTAAATTGTATTGACAAACGATTTCATTATAACGACCGTAGAATTTGCTAAAAGCTGACTTTAATCGGGGTTGTTGAAATCCTTGTAACATCAACTTATTTGTCAGAAGCTTGCCTCGGTTAAAGTTGATCGAACTCAGAGCATGCTCTTGCGTATCGAATCAGTTTGGAGACATAAACACCATATGCAGGTGATGTTGAAAAATTACTGCATAAATAAGGGAAGTTGATGCTGAAAACGCTAAAGTCATCCCGTTTTTCATACAGTTTAGTTATTAGTTGGCCATTGTCGTCTATAGCTACAGTCAGTAAAACATCCAAATATGAAACAGATGTGGCAGATTCATCAAATCAGGTACATTTTATTTTCATAAATCTTTCTGAATGCTTTAATTCACAAAGTCTAAGTCTGTTTTGTTTCCAATTGTTAGACCATTATTTACACACTGAATTGTCAACGGATTTTTCCGTTTGCCCGATCATGACAAGGAGCACAAGACGGGTGTGTCGGCAAGGGATGCTTACTCCTCCATGGCACCTGATCCCACCTCTGATGATTTTGAGGTCCGTGTTTGCTCTACTTCTGATTTATATTGTTTGAATGGACTTATGAGCTTGAATACTGTTCGTTATCTTCATATTTCATTGATACCGAATATTGCTTAATTATGTCTAGCTCTCGTAGTTTCTCGTTCGGAGTGACGAAATGTACAGATAAGTCTTATAATGTCCTGTTCTTACTATACTTGGAATGCTCATAATACACACTCTAAAGGGGTCCACATTACCATGGAAGCAATTTTTAATCTCCAGAGGAGCAGATGGTGCTTTTTCCATAATCTTTCTCAGCGCTACTACTGCTCTGTATTCACATCTTAGAAATGGAGGAGATTGATTCGTCCAAACGATTCCTTCAGATTCCGTGCCAGCCTTGGGTAAGAGATTCAAAACTAGACTTGTTTAAAATACATGTATAAACTTGTGCCGTAAAAAATACTTGTAAATTTAATGTAGGGAAAATGTATAATTATCATGGACATGTAACATACGTAGTTACTCGGCACATATCGGCCGATTCGAATGATGATTAGTGATATACCTGACTTAATTAATCAATAACGGTTAATGCCGCGATGATTATCATGGTTGGTTTTAATTCTTTGAGAACTGTGAGTTGGTTATAGTCTCGATCACTTCATAAATGACACTGATGTACATGTAATATGTATTGCTGCAAACAACCGAAAACTAGATTTCATGATCAACAGAAAGTCATTACTGAATGGAAAAGAATAACTGCTCGTTTAAGATACAGTAACCTCTCTCTCTCTCTCTCTCTCTCTCTCTCTCTCTCTCTCAAACAAAGGATTTTTTTTTTTAAATAAGAAAATCTTTTTTTTTTTAATGCTAGAAAACTGCATGACTAAACATACTGTAAATTTTGTATCGTCATGTTTGTTATGGTGTGTATAAAAAAAAAAATCAGTGCATGCGCGGATCGGGGGAGGGGGGGGGGGGAGCGGTCCTCCCTGTAATTTGCAGAGTAATTAAAAGTATATATACTGAATCAAATAAAAAATTACTTTGGACCCCCCCCCCCCAGAAAACGCGGACCCCACCATCACCACCACGAAATAGGCTTTTTTTCACGTTTGGAAAATGGATTTAACCTTTTGATTATTTATTTATTTATTTTTTGGCTTATCAAGAAATTTTCTGGGTTTAATACGTTTGGGAAGGGAATGCATTTTTTTTTTTTTTTTGACTTGATTCTGGGCTGGATTTTTTTTTTTTTTTTTTTTTTTTTTTTTGACTGAGGTGGACCCGCCTGGAAAAAAAAATTCCTGGATCCCGCCTGCAATGTACAAAAATCAGAGCTCGTGGGCGATCCAAGAACTGGTTGGCCACTTAATTGGCCTGCTGTTTGATCATAATAGTCTTCCAGGATGGTTTCTACTAGCATAAAGACTGAGAAAAATCATTAAATTAAAAAAAAAAAAAAAAACTCATTCGCTGTATTTGTTTCACATAAGTACATTTTATATTTTAAGGTTCAGTTGAATGTGTATTTATATTGATTTTGATAAAACACAAAGGAGTCGGTTGTGACTTAATTAATTGCACCAGGGGTTGATTGTAACTATAACTTATCGTACCAGGAGTTGATTGTAATTTAATTAACTACGTAATTGTACCAGGAGTTGATTGTGACTTAATTAACTAATCGTACCAGTGTTGACACAGGAGAGAAGAGAGGAGGATGAGGATGAGGATATCTGCTCCTGGGAGGAACTAACAGATAGTGGAGCCTCCGGTGACGTATCCACGGTAGGTTGTAAAGTATTTACCTGATTTAAACGGCTTGGTAGAAAATTTCTCATTTGAAAAGCGTTACAAGACAACCCGCATGTCAGAATTAATTTAAATTACCTTTGTTGTATAAAGAAAAAGGAATGTACATTTAAAGTTTGGTTATGATAAATACTTTAAAAAGGTCATAAAACCGAAGATTTTATTCCGGGGTTTCTTGTCATGTTGGTCTTTGTTTAGATCCGCACCTTCTAATTGTTCGTCATATTGGCCTTTGGTCTTGTTTAGATCCGCGCCTTCAGATTGTTTCAGCGATCGGGATCGAATGATCTAATTTGTGTCGTTTAACTATATTAGGATAAATAAAAGATGGTATAATGGATTAAATAATTTAAAGGTACTCAAATATATTGATATGATATGCCCCCCCCCTTTTTTTTTAATTATTGCCTCGTTTTCGAAGCCGGTAGACCATGTGATCAGTGTCCATTTTTCATACAACATGGCTTCAGAAATTGATACGAAAGAGGTAAAATATTGTGAATGAAATGGTCCTATAACTATTAATTTTAGCGAGTATTATGTGTTTTTCATCAAGAAAAATGAAAACCTAGGTAAACTGTGAGTATTTTAGCTAGTTAAAGGCATTTGTTTTCATGATTACAGTAAAAACATGCTTCAAATCAAAGGTGGCACACGCTGATGTCACCACCTGAACCACAAAATCTTAATAATTAGGAAAAAGTATGGTTTGGTTATTTTAGTTAAAGGTGTATGTTAATAACGAGATAAATTTAGACTAAAAATTATCTCCTTAACTGACTCGTAGAAATGCGCACTACATATTTTGGGGCATATCATATGCTGTTCATGCAGATTAAAAATACATTTGATAAACAGGAAAACCTCAGTCCTTGCATTTTTGGAAACAGTTTTTCAAAGAACAGTTTACAGTCTAATTCTAATCTTAAGTTAAAACACTACCTCTCAGAGCCTAGCACACAGTCTTTCAGTTTCCACATTAAGTACAACATTGAAATATTTTTTGCCCACTATGACTTGATGTATGTGCCTGTGGGAGTTGATTTAGTCCACAGCAGTCTTCAATTATAAAAGATTAAGATAACGTACAGTGATGAATCCCATAAATTTTGTAAACAATACTAATTGTTAACAGGACAAAAACATGCATGGACCCCAGGAAATTGCAGAGGTGGGATTAATCTCAGTGGAGATTGGGCTGGGCTAGATATTTGGTCTGACGCCCACCGAAATCTCAGGACAGTCCATAATTCATGTCTGGGAATTCAGCCCCAACTTCGGCCAGCTATATCAAGAATTATTCACCTAGGCGACACTGTCGTTTGCTTCAGTTAAGTCATTTAGTTGTTTAATTAACTCTCTGTCACTATTATTTTCACATTGCTTACCGTCTAGGCATGTAAATCCCACCATAAAAACATTCACTAAAATCTCCGTTCAAAATATTGCTCCCCTGACGTAATTGTTAATCTCCTCGCACTAAAGAGTTCCTACAGTCTGTTTTCTTTTATGTGATACTGAACCTCTACTGTGGCTTCTAAGTATTTTTCATAGAAATGAAAACAGACCATAGAGGAACTCTTTAGATTTACATGCCAGAGACAGACATTAACTTTCAGATTAACTTGCCCGAAGAGCAAGTGATCTCAAACTTTGACTTGTCCGAATGCAAAACTTGGTTGCCCAAAATTAGGAAAGAACTTAAGAAGAAAATTATCAATTACTGTAAACGTTATAAGAAAAAATGTGACTAAATACACTACTGTCAAATTGGCAAGTTGAGCTACCTGAAAAAATGTTGATGCTTCATTTGTACATAAATGTATACCACTGTATCTGAAAATTTAACCTTTTAACGCACACTGCCTTGCAGCAATAACCCTCTGTCTCCTTTTAATAAAATTCTTCTTTTTTTTTTTTAATTATTTTTGGTAGGATCCTTTTGTGAATCATGATTTTCAGAGATAACTCCAGGGAAGCAACGCTTAAGGAAGATAGTTGCTATGAAACATACATCTTATCTTGATCAGGATACATCGTGTTACATACTTATATTTTGTGCGTGAATAAGTAAATAAATAAGAAGTTAACAAAATTTTGACGTAGAGCGTATTTACTAGAAGGAAAAAAACGAACCCGATTCTTAAATGAACAGTATAATGCAGAAAAGCTACCAAGGAATTCCAAATGCAAAACCATTGTCAATCTGGTGCGTGGCGGAAATCAAGTGTTAAATTTGTTTTATTTATAAATTAATGTAAACTAAATAAATATGTACATTTGTATGAGAAAAATTCATTTGCCCGATCGGACAAGTACTTCAACAGTTTCACTTGCCCGAACTGAGAATTTCCTTGTCCCGGGCAATCAGACAACTGTTAATGTCAATCCCTGCATGCCTAGATGGTAAGCAATGTGAAAGTAATAGTGACAGAGAGTTAATTAAACAACTAAATGACTTAATTGAAGCGAACAACAGTGTCGCCTCAGTGAATAATTCTTGATATAGCCGGCCGAAGTTGGGGCTGAATTCCCAGACATGAATTATGAAGGACTGTCCCGAGATTCGGTGGGCATCAGACCAAATATCTAGCCCAGCCGAATCTCTACCGAGATTAAGGTGGGATCAGGTGCCCAGGAAGAGAGACCACCCAAAGAGGATGGTGTTTTTTGTGTATTACATATTTTTTCTATGTCTGTCTAAATATACTACAGTTGAACTTCAGTATCTCGAACACGGATATCTCGAATACCATGGATATGTTGAAGTGATTGGGTGTCCTTACCACATCTTTCTTAAGTATTTTACCCTCGATATCTCGAACCCTTGGATATCTCAAAGTTTTTTCTAGGTCCCATCAAGTTTGAGATAACGAGGTTTGACTGTAATTGAAATAAAAATAGAAAAAATGCTGAAATTTGCAGTTTTAAAAAAAATTTCAATGTACATATATTTAAATAAGAAGTAAGGGTTGACATTCGCCATCTTGGATTCCAGGGAGTGTCTCACACTCAATTTTAATCAATATCTACACTTTTCCTACATGTGTCAGTGAGATCTATCTTCAGAAATGATTGAATAACTCTTTTCTATCGTCTGCCAATTTGCTCATATAAAACTTGCAGTGAAACAAAACTTCCTAAATACCTAGCACTGAAATCAAAGCAACGGAAGTGATGATTTGTAAGTATGTAAAGTCTCGAGGCGTCCTGGAATTGCACAGAATTCTAGAAGGGACAGGAACAATGCCAAACTTGTTTTCTGTAGATTTCTGGTACAATTCCAGGACCCTCTGTATTGGTCAGGTAAACAGAGTCATCTGCAGCTAAATTAAGTTTAAAAACAATGGCCTTCTGTTGAAAAAAATAAAGGCATTTTTAGGCAATTATTTATTTTCCTTCTGTACAAAATAAGGTACATGTATTTGGTCTGACAAAACTTTGTCCAGTCTGACAGAATCTTTGACTTTGTCACGTGGTACCAGGACTCAACATTAACTTAATCATGCACTTGTACATCGTACAAGTTGAGAACAAACTTCATGTGTCCGGATTCAATGTTTACTTGTACAACTCGATCTGTAGAGATATAAGAAAAATTGTAAAACTCTTAATTTTCAAGAGTGAAGTATTATTGTTAATTAAGCTAAGATTATTTCTGATTGAAAGTACAGTAGCACTATCTGTAATATAATCTTGATATCCATGCGACAAGTGATAGTAACATTATATTTAATGTCAAGGGAAATTAATTTTGTGGAGATTTGTTTCAATCATATGTACATTATTCCATGCGTGTACAATAAGTTACTTGTTCAATGGGACAAATGGAGATTAACTTGTCGGATAATAAAATGAACTGGATACTGTCAGTCAGATAAACATTATTGTTGAGCCCTGGGTACTGGATATTCCTATGTAGCTTGTAACATGAGCTTTGATTGGTAACAAAGTCGGGTGTAAATTTCATATACCCGACTTGAGCCAGGGGTAAAAAACGTGACGTCACAATGCAAAGTTTCTCTATGATAAAAAGCAAATAACATGATATCATGATGCATTGTATAGTAAAATCTTATCGATAGCTCGAAACACAGTTGATTGGACTTGTTTTAAAATTAATTTATTTGGGTACATAGGAAATAAATTCTTTATCCAGGTCCAATCAAGGGTCAGGGGTGTGCAATTAAAATAATCAAGTACTAGCCCACGGGCTAGTGGCAGCAATAAAGTTACTAGCCCGAAGTTAAAAGTTACTAGCCCAAATGTAGGGGTGGGGGTGGGGGGAGTTACAACTAATATTGAAAAAAAAAAAAGATTATTGTTGAAAAAGTCAGGGTTTTAAGGTCATTGTCTTTAAAATTAAAGTTTAATTCTCACTAGAAAAAATTGAATCATGTATAAATTAATTATTATGATAGAAAATAATTTAAATAAATTATTTTTTCCTTTTTCTGTGCATTGCACTAGCTCACGATCATCTAAAACGAAGTGAAATCATTTTTTTTAATCTAAAATTATTAAAAACAATGGAAATATATTTTACGTAAATCACATAGCACTTATCTTTCAGATGATTGAGTGATTGTAATTTAATGAGATGTCTGCATTTATTTACCATAAACACACAAATGGAGGAAATATGGATTAGGAAAAAAAAAACTGATCGTTTTTGGAAGTAAGTAAGTCAGGAAGCAGGGATGGGCACGATTACTGAAAAATGTAATCGATTAATAATCGATTACTTAGAGGAATTTTGTGTTATCGATTATTAATCGATTACACTCATTTTTGTCCTGTAATCGATTGTAATCGATTACTTTGGAAGATGTAATCGATTAATAATCGATTACTCCCAAGTTTTTATCCCTTCAAATATCAAAGCAAAATTTAAATGGTAACATTGATGATATCCACTGAAGTTTGAATGTGTTCCTGCAGTTTCAGTGCAGATTCTTTTAAGGTTTTATTCTGGCTAACATTCTCACTAAATGCCCAAATGAGGGATTCTGTGCCATGAAAAGTGGAGACATGATTCCTACAATAAAATATATGTCAAGGAATTAATTATTCCTTTAAACCTTGGATCTGAACCTCCATATTCAGATTTGACTTGTTGCAAAAATTATTTATTATAAAATAATTGTGAATAACTTCATTAGAAGTATTTGGGCTGCCCGTATGTTGACAGTACACATTAAACATTCTTGTGTCTTCTTTAAAAAAAAAATAAGTAAATTAGAACTCTTAGTAATAAACATGTAAATCAAATGTGTCTTTAAGTAATTAAACTAATAGTACAATTTCATTCTGTATTGAAATAAGTGTTTTGAGAGCTATTAATTGTTTTAATAATATTGTTTGTCTTCAATAGAACTATGAATAATAAAAGTTAAACACTAGGTAGTTCACAGTTTACACCTCATTATCTGCAAGTCAGGGATGTCTCAGTCAATTAATTAGCCAAGATAAGCAAACACAGTGACACTTACTCCCTCTCTTACAGACACTTATAACCCCTCACTGATGCAAAAGAAACCTTACGATTTTGAATGAAAACATGAGAATGATTTTGCAAATTTTAAAGTCACTAAAACAACAAGTTTGAAGTTGTTTAAACATTTTCAGATATGAATAAGTATTTCCATCTTCTTTTTTCGAGTACAATGTAGTTTATTTACCAAATTATATATATTTAATACAGCACTTAAATCTGTTTTTGCTATTTATAATTTTCTATTACAACCAGAAAGTTTTTCAAGATTTGAAATATGAAAAAGGACATGCAGCAAGAGGACTATGGGTCAAATGTAAAATGCATACAAAAAATCTATATATTTTATTAATAAATACCAGGGTAGTTGAAATACACTTCTGAATTATTTAATACTAGACCAGTAGGTCTATAATGCAAATTTTATTGAGAACATTATTAAACTTATGATAATAAAAGTTAGGTAATCCAAACATTACACTAGGTTGTTTATATTTGATATTTGTGTGTGACTGACTGGAAATAATTCTCCAAAATAACATCCATTTATGCATAAAATAATCGAAAGTAATCGAAAAAGTAATTATAATTACATTGAAAATTTTAGCTGTAATCGATTAAATTACGATTACGAGTAATCGAAAATCTCTTCGATTACAGATTACTGTCGATTACTTGCAAAAAGTAATCATTACAATTGATTACGATTACTCGATTCCGATTACCCCATCCCTGTCAGGAAGTGCTGCAAAATGGATAAGATTATGGAGATTTACGAACAATCAGAGCATGCTGCTGGAAACTTTTCATTGGTTGGGAATTTAATAGCAAAAAATGTGTGAAAATACCGGTAGTGATTTTCATATATTACATTGGTATTTTTAATTTTTACTAGCCCAAGGGGCTACCTGCATGCAGAAAACCACTAGTCTGACCCGAAAAAATGGTAGCCCTGGGCGTCTGACAATGCTAATTGCACACCCCTGAGGGTGTACGGGAATTTACCATGGGTTGTATAGACGAATTTCACATTCTTAAGAGTTGTCTCCCATTGTCAGCGTAACACTCATTTTTGTCACTATATCCTTTGTAACTTACCTGTAAATATTTGCAACCTTTAAACGGAATTGGACAATTTTGACCTGTTCCTGAATTGCCTTAGTATGGGGAAAAATGAAAAACATAATGAACATATTCATACGGATTTAAGTTGCGATATATTGCCCCCAAAAGTTGGTAATGTTATAGAGGGAAAACTGTGTCTTATGCCGGTTGACCCAGACTGACACTGCAAAGGGAAATAAATTTCGTAAATGTGAAATTTGTCTATTCCATACACCCTTGATTGGACCTGGATAAGTAATATATTGATGGAAATTTTAGTACAGTCTATGACAAACATCAATTGGCAAAGCCAGAAGAGAGTGGCAGGAAAGGTTTCAATGAACATTTATAAAATTTTAAGGTTTTGATTCAAAATACATTTGTTGGTTTTGCTAAATATATTGCTGTACTTCAAAAAGTACAATTTTAAAATAGCAACAGAAAACTACATAAGACCTATTTTGTCCTTGTATGGTATTTTCTACCAACTTTTCATAGAGTATGAAATAAACAAATTACAACAGTACTAAGTATTCATTCCTTTTAAATTCTGTGATGAAATTTAGTGATTCCTTTTACTTGCAGTTATTTTTTACAAATAAGATAATCTGAATTTTCCAAAATGCACAAATGACAAAAGTGAGGAAACCTTAAAAATATTAGACAGCAATATTAATCCATTCTACTTGATCTTGAGCCTTATCTGTAGCCTAAGATTATACATAAATATATGGCTGCTAACTTACAATCAATTGAAAAATGGTTAAATGAGAAAATTATTGAGAATGTACAAATGAGAGATAGAATTAAGATATTTGTTCCAATTCTTGGGGCCAGCTTTTTGTGTGCAACTGGATAATCAGTCTGTTCCCTCTGTCTTTTTAGCTCACCTGAGCTGAAAGCTCAAGTGAGCTTTTCTGATCACCTGTTATCTGCATCCGTCTGTCTGTCTATCTGTCCGTAGGTAAACTTTTCACATTTTCAACTTCTTCTAAAGAACCACTGGGCCAATTTTAACCAAACTTGGTACAAAGCATCCTTGGGTGATGGGGAGTTTAAATTCTTAAAATGAAGGGCCAAGCCCCCTTCCAAGGGGAGATAATCAAGAAAAGACAAAAATAGGGTGGGGTCATTAAAAAATCTTCTTCCCAAGAACCACTGGGCCAGAAAATCTGAAACTTATGTTGAAGCATCCTGGGGTAGTGTAGATTCTAAATTATTCAAATCATGTCCCCCTGGGGTAGGGTGGGGCCACAATAGGAAATCCAAGTTTTACATTGAAATATATAGAAACAATCTTTAAAAATCATCTTCCCAAGAAACACTGGGCCAGAAAAGTTGAAACTTATGTGGAAGCATCCTGGGGTAGTGTAGATTCTAAATTGTTCAAATCATGATTCCCGAGGATAGGGCGGGGCCACAATAGGGAATCCAAGTTTTACATTGAAATATATAAAAACAATCTTTAAAAATCATCTTCTCAAGAAACACTGGGCTAGAAAAGCTGAAACTTATGTGGATGCAAACTGGGGTAGTGTAGATTGTAAATTGTTCAAATCATAACCCCTGGGGGTTGGATGTGGCCCCAGTAGGGAATCCAATTTCTTACATTGAAATATAAATCTTTAAAAATCTTCTTCTCAAGAACCACAGGGCCAGAAAAGCTTAAACTTATGTGGAAGCATCCTGGGGTAGTGTAGATTCTAAATTGTTCAAATCATGACCCCCGAGGATAGGGCGGGGCCACAATAGGGAATCCAAGTTTTACATTGAAATATATAGAAACAATCTTTAAAAATCATCTTCTCAGGAAACACTGGGCCAGAAAAGCTGAAACTTATGTGGATGCAAACTGAGGTAGTGTAGATTTTAAATTGTTCAAATCACAACCCCTGGGGGTAGGATGTGGCCCCAGTAGGGAATCCAATTTTTTACATTGAAATATGTAGAAAAAATCTTTAAAAATCTTCTTTTCAAGAACCACTGGACCAGAAAAGCTGAAACTTATGTGGAAGCATCCTGGGGTAGTGTAGATTCTCAATTGTTCAAATCATGACCCCCAAGGGTAGGGCGGGGCCACAATAGGTACTAAAGGGGGATAATCAATTGAAACACAGCAAGGCCAAAGTTACTCAGGTGGGGGTTGTGGCCCATGGGCCTCTTGTTTATATTTTGATGAGCATATAATCTCTCTCTTTTATGCAGCATGGTTAAATCTCCCCCCAAAACTTGTGGGAAAAACCCAAGTTAATTACTGTAAGAGTAGAAATATTCGTTGGGGATTTAATTTTATTTATTTTGTTGTTAACAATTATCAATGAATTTAAATCCCACATGACTACTTATAAAAATTGCATGACGAAAAAAAAAATTCTGGTGAGGCAAACACAGAAGGGGAAAAAGTCAAATATTGGCTATAAAATCAGTAGAAAAAAAACATGATTAACCCCCAATGATACCCACCTGTATCATTTGTCCTTGAAAGGAATGATTTTAGTGCAAAATCATTTACATTGTCAGTGCCAAGATGTTGACATTTCAGTCTTGCTATTCTGTCCCGTACTTTGAGGATAAATGCTTTCTCTGACATTTGTTCTTTCATACACTCTGTGCTACCTTTCTACATCATGCACTCCCAGGGGCAGGAGTAATGACCAGGAAGTGACTTTTATAATAAAATCATGTGGTGGTCAGTTGAACTGATGATGATCTTACTTTTGTATACTTTTCTAATTTTTAACAATTTAGGAAAGAATGTCCTGTTTCTCATTACTATCTATTACTACTATCTATGCTATATGCTAGTTGTTGCACAGTCCTTGGTAATCTTTTTTTAATTTTGCACTTTTCTGAACATAGATTTAGAGAAAAATATACATCTTTAGTTCTTTACTGATATTTTCTTTACGAATTAAACTTCAAAACCTAGTCATTTAACATGATTATAGGAAGCTAGGTTTATATTCAAATAGAAACAAAAAAGAGATTCCTAAATATGTTAGATTTCTACCAGCTTTAAATTTTCTCTTGATGTTTTTTAGATTCTTACTGAAATAAGTGTTAATTTCTGATAAAGATGTGGGGAAAATGTACATGTACATTTAATGCATGGTACTATTTGGCATAACATTTTTTTCCTTGAATTAAATATGAAGTGTTTCAAAAATTTTGCTCCACTTTATTGTAATAATTACAAAAATTAAATATTAGCATACTACTATATATGCCTGGAAAGTGGCCAAATTGTAATTAATAAATACATAACTGTTTCTAATTATAGAAGAGACAAGCAGGAATATCACCTATTGACCTACTTTTAGTCGTAGACCTTGTTTGTTTGTATGTAGAACTGTCATTTTGTGGCATATCTAAAAGTGTAGGCAGTCAAAGTGTTTCAATTTTTTGTAAGAAATCCTGAAAAATGAAGTTTATCTTCTTTCCACATTTACACAAGGCCATGGTAGGTTCTCATATGAGATGGTTTTCTAAATGAGAGGGAGAGGTATAAATTGTCTAATTGACTGAATTGATAAGTTGTTCACTATTATTTTGTGTTGGTAGATTTTGTTACCTTTGTTAAGTTTCCAGGTAAGAGAAATATTTCTTGAGTTCACTGTGAGTTGTATTGACTGATTTTAATTTGTTGTAGGAAGAAAGAGTTGAGGAGGAGGAAGATGAACAAATAGATGATGGCGCCACTGTGCCTCCAGAAGCCCTCATAAAGCATCCTCTACAAAACAGATGGGCATTGTGGTTCTTCAAAAATGACCGCACCAAAGAGTGGACGGCAAACCTTAAACTTATCACAGCCTTTGACACAGTAGAAGATTTTTGGGCGTAAGTGTCTTGCTGAGCTTTTAAGTATCTGATTCTTCAGATGTGAGTACAGTGTCGTATAAGTGTGATAGTATCAATGACGGCTTGTATTAATCTATTGTTGGTAGATAGAGGTGTAATTCAAAGTCCTTTAATAACTCTGCTTTTGAAGAAAAATGATTAAGTACTGCTAGGAGATGAAGTTCAAGGATGCACTCAAGTTATACAAAGCAAGACATATTGGCATTTACTTGAAATCATTTATACCGTATAATCCCTATTAACCACCCAGGGCACGTAGAAAATTGCGAAAGGGGGCGGTTATTTTGGTATTCTCATTATAATATTTAATGTCATATTTTAACTTCAAGAAATCTTTTGAAAAAAAAATAAATTCAGAGAACCACTAAAAGATTGTCTAACTTTCCTTTAAGGTCAAGATCTAGTAAATGAAAGGTGGCTACAGATTTCTCAAATTTGAGAAATAAATTCCTTTAATGATGCTTTATAACTTTAGCTTGGTCAAATAAGGTGTTTCCGGGCATAATTTGTAGATGAACAAGACGAAAAATCATATTTTAAACTGTGTCATTTTCAATGAAAAATTAAGAAAATCAGTCATGATTACAGGATTTTTTTTTCCATATCAGACAAAGGAAATGTATCCAGATTGCCTACAGTCTCTCAGAAAACAATAATTTGTATGTTCTTAGCCTCTTCTTTAAAATAATATAAAATTGAATATAACAGTCAGGGGTGAGACTGAAATCCGTCATTTTTGAAAAATGATGGATAATCGTCATATTTACTAAGTACGTATTTTCGTCATTTTTGTCAATATGACTTACTATCGTCATATTTTCTTTTTCAACTTAATTCTTCTATCCTGGTTACATAAAAGCGAAATTTGAATTCACCGCTGAAAGAAGAGTGTTTACGCAAGTTTCATTTCATCCGGGTCAATAATTACTGCCGACCACGTGCGTTAGAACATCAACATGGAAGGTGAAAGTTATTATTTAGCGGTAAAATGTCGAATTTTGGTAGAACTAATTCGCCATTTTTACATGGCTTTTAGCCCTATAAAAACATATAGTACACCGTCTGGAAGAATACATTCTTGTAGAGAAAAGTCTCGACAAAAAGTTAAAGCCATAAAAAAGTAGTGCGCCCCGTAAAACAAGCGAGATATTTCAGTGCGCCCAGACCCTCCATTTTGAAAAAAGACGGATTCCGAATATCGTCATTTTCGTCTTCTTTCCTATTTAATGCAAATAAATTGACAAATAACTCTTCCACTCTTATTTTTTCTTGGGAAATTTATACTGTCAACATAACCAGTATTGTAGTCAACTGTATTAGAGAAATGAAGTTCGTTTACGATGTTTTTTGTCCTTTTTTCGGTTGGTGGATCTAACATTTTTCAAAGAGAGGTAACTCGGTATTCTAGAAACACTCTAAATTTTTATGACTGTTTTTCGTCATTTTCTTAAAAATGACGAGTTTAAGTCATAATAAAAATTTTATTTTATGGCTTAAAATCGTCATTTTAAAAATGACGGATTTCAGTCTCACCCCTGACTGTATAAGTATCAGGATTACTTTTCACATGTTTTCAAATTGAATTCCACGAAAATATTTTATTTTCTGTATAATTCTATTAGAACCGTAAAGTACGGGAAAAGAAAGTTAAAATTCATTATGACGTCATAATGGATCTAGCACCAAAAAGTTAGTCTTAAGTCATTTACTAGATCTTGACCTTAAGTTAACATAATCAATCCAAATTATGCTAAATGATTCATTTTTCCACCGAAATTAGATAATACACAAAGAGAACAAATTTGATAGGTAACTTTCACTTTCAGAAATACATAATGATTGTCGTTCTAAAATCTTTCACTTTCACAATTTACGTACGAGTTACCCAATAACCAAGTTTCATTTTCACTTTCTTCAAATTATGACGTACTTTCGATTCGATTCTAGATGATTTTAATCACTGTACAGGGGGCCCTTATTTCCCGACAATTGAAAAAGACCTAGGGGGCGCTTATAGGGGCAGGGGCGGTTAATAGGGATTATATAGTATAAACTCCAATGATAAATATTCACTTAGCTGCTTGTTTGATCTCTTATTCTTGCCTTTTTTGCTTAAATTTTATCAGCATCATTAAAGCTTAAAAGCAATTTTTGGTCAAAAGTCTGAGTATTAGATTCTGTGGATCAAAATGATCAAAGATGTGTATTGTCTTGATATGTGTCAGTGACCGGTTAATGGAATGCTAATTTATTTCTAGACTGAGACATGCATGAATCTGAATTCTTAACCATGCTGTCACAACACTCTTAAAATTATAAAGGTCTAATGTAGTTAACGTGGAATTTAAAGTTGTAAATTTATAATCACAGCTGCATGTATATTGCTAAAGAAATAGCATTGCCAGCAATTCCTGATGCATTTAGGAAAACATTTCTCTGAATATGTAGCATACACTTATAAGACCTATAATTGTGAGTGGCATTGATTATGCTATTGTTTGTTGAGGTGTAGAATCACTTTTATAATTTTAGGTTATATAACCATGTACAGAAAGCAAGCAGATTACCTTCAGGCTGTGACTACTCACTCTTCAAGGTAAGGTGTCACCGTTTAGCTCTCTACTTTAATGGCCATCACATTTGAAATGTCTTCAGTTATTTTCAACCTTATCTACATTGTTATACCCCCGCTCAGAAGGAGAGGGGGTATACTGTTTTACCCTTGTGTGTCTGTCTGTCTGTCTGTGCATCTGTCTAGCTGTCTGTGTGTCCGTGTGTCTGTCCGTAACAAATTTTGGTCGCAGTTTTCTCAGCAATTACTCATCGCTGATGCTTGAAATTTTAGCACAATCTTTGTTTAGGCATGCCATATGGTGGGATTCATTTTTGTGAGAATCTGATGTCAACTTCCAGTTTATCCGTGCATCTGTCCATACCATTCATAACAAATTTTGCTAGCAGTTTTCTCATCAACTATTCATCGTAGATGCTTGAAATTTTAGCACACTCTTTGTTTAGGCATGCCATATGGTGGGATTCATTTTTGTGAGAATCTGATGTCAACTTCCAGTTTATCCGTGCATCTGTCCATACCATTCATAACAAATTTTGCTAGCAGTTTTCTCATCAACTATTCATCGTAGATGCTTGAAATTTTAGCACACTCTTTGTTTAGGCATGCCATATGGTGGGATTCATTTTTGTGAGAATCCGATGTCAACTTCCTGTTTATCCGTACATCTGTCCATACCATTCATAGCAAATTTTGGTCACAGTTTTCTCAGCAACTATTCATCTTAGATGCTTGAATTTTAGCACACTCTTTGTTTAGGCATGCCATATGGTGGGGTTCATTTTTGTGAGAATCTGATGTCAACTTCCAGTTTATCCGTGCATCTGTTCATACCATACATAAAAAATTTTGGTCGCAGTTTTCTCAGCAATTACTCATCGCAGATGCTTGAAAGTTTATCACACTCTTTGTTTAGGCATGCCGTATGGTGGGCTTCATTTTTGTGAGAATCTGATGTCAACTTCTTGTTTATCTGTGCGTCTGTCTGTACCATACATAACAAATTTTGGTTGCAGATTTCTCAGCAACTACTTATTGCAGATGCTTGAAAGTTTAGCACACTCATTGTCTAGGCATGTCATATGGTGGGATTCATTTTTGTATGAATCTGATGTCAACTTCTTGTTTATCCCTGTGCTTGTCCAAAAATGAACTTGTGTATTCACATCAGAGCGGGGGTATTATTAGTGAGCATTGGCTCACAGACTTCTTTTGAAAGGTCTAGTTTTGTCTGCCATAACATATAATTCTTTTTATTCTATCTGTTAGATTTTAGTTTTGAGTATCATCAGAATTTATGCATAAGCTAAAATGTCAGTCATTCACTTGTTAGGAAATTTTCAAAATGTAATTATTCCTTTAATTTTTCTTCAGATTTCAATAAAATTTTGGTACATAAGTAAACAAAACATCAAGAAATAATTCTAGGTATCATTTTTTTCCCATTGCATGATGTTGCAAAAAACATAGTTTTCTGTACAATTCTTTTTAAACGCTTGTATTTGTACAATTCTAGGATGGAATTCAACCTATGTGGGAAGACGACAGGAATAAAGACGGAGGACGGTGGTTAATTAATCTTAACAAAAATCAGAGACAGACAGATCTGGATAACTTCTGGTTAGAAACGGTAAGTCAGAAAATGATGTGGTTAATTAATCTTAACAAAAATCAGAAACCGACAGGTCTGGATAACTTCTGGTTAGAAACGGTAAGTCAGAAAATGATGTGGTTAATTAATCTTAACAAAAATCAGAAACCGACAGGTCTGGATAACTTCTGGTTAGAAACGGTAAGTCAGAAAATGAGGTGGTTAATTATCAGAGACAGACAGATCTAGATAGCTTCTGGTTAGAAACGGTAAGTCGGAAAATGATGCGGTGGATTTAAATTGTTATTTTGAAAGTGATGCTTGTATAAAATGGGGGGAAGGGAATGGAGGAATGTGCATTCAGATTCGCATGTACAGTATTGTAGATCAGGCCACAATTAAAATATTGTTGGTTTGGCGTTGCAGACTTAGTCTTTGTACGTTTGGGTTGGTAGGTAGGGAAAATATTTTCTTTTAAATTTCAAATATGGTATGTGTTGTTAGTATCCAAACGTCATGGGTTTCCGATAGTTTAACAACAACCACAGTCCGAATTGATTCCCAGTTTTGTCATTGATTTTCAAACATTATTAGTTTTAAACCTTTAATATACATGGTATTAAAAATCACCGACATTAAATTTGTGTAAAGTCGTTATCATGTGCACGAATCTAAGCATGGCAGCTAGATTCGTCTAGCAAATCGGACAGGACATTGTACCGTGAAATTTCTATTTCGAACTGGTATATCTTATTCATTAGTTTACTTTTAAAACCACATTACCACAGAGAGTCATGCCATCAACTTGTTATACTGAGTTTACATTATACCGCTTTCGACAGCCATGATTGGATTCGAGATACGCATTTATTCAACATCACATAGACGCTTATAAATGAAAACTGTTTGATCAATCAAGCGATTACATGATTATTTCCCATTCTGTATATATTACGCAAATGTACAAACACCTAAATCCAAATGAGTATAACAAAATAAAAATTATGATCAGTATCTGTTGAAAAAATTCTTCGGACAGCACTGATTTATGATTTATGATTTACTGATTTAGTCGGCCGGCAACACCAAACAAAGCTAATTTTATTTTTGGCCTCACCAAAGTTACACATTTCTTTATAAGATGGATATTTGATAAGTGAGACAAATTTTTCAGGAATTTTGATTATTGGTAGTATATATTCTATAATAAAACAAATTAATATATAGGAGAATTATATTTTGACAAGGAGATGGTCTCGAATTATCACGCAAAAAATTAAGTTTTTAAGTGCAAAAAGTGGTTTACAGTATCAACTGTATAGAAGAAATTTGTATCCTGAGTATGTTGTAATTTGATTATTTACTTTGTGATTTATTTGTTTTTGTTATTTTGTAGTTACTTTGTTTAATTGGTGAGTCGTTTGAGGAGTATAGCGAGGACATCTGTGGTGCTGTAGTCAATATCAGAAACAAGGGAGATAAACTCAGTCTCTGGACAAGAGAGGCCAGGAGAAATGATGCCATATTAAAAATAGGGTTTGTTGCTACATTGCTCTGTATTAAATAGAACACCTACAAATAACAAGGCACTAAAAATGTTTAAGTTGTATTACAGAAAATAAACAGTAAGAAACTATTAAAGAAGCAACAAGGAACTTGATGTACTGTAATTGTTCTAATAATGTTTTTAATTTTATTGTAGAAGAAAATTAAAAGAAAGATTAAGTATACCATCCAAAATACAAATAGGTTTCCAGGTAGGTCCTAAATGAAGGAACTATTTTTATACTGCTTGAAAAGTGTGTATGTGTTGGGAGGGGGGAGGAGGGGTCCGTTCCATCCGTTACATTTGAGGATGGTCACCCTTTATCAACAACTCCTCCTGTACCATGGAATAAAATTTAATGTGAAATCTTTATTACATACTAATTGTGCATCTCATATTTTCACTTCGATTGGACACATTTTTAGGGTTTACCATTGCAAACATTCTTTCTTTAATATGGAGGGAGGGAGGGAGGGGACCCATCTGTCCTCCTATACCACGGAATAAACTTTAGACTCGCAGAATCTTTATAACACAGTGCCATTGTGACCTACTTGGTATTTTACGTTTGATCGGACAGATATTTAGTTTCAAATAGCAGACAATGGACACTGCCATTCTTTCTGTAATATTGGGGGTTTCCATCTCTTATCTGCAACTCCTCCTATACCACTGAATAAAACAGAATTTTTTTTACATAGTGCTTTTGTGCACCTTAGTATTTTACATTTGATCAGACAAATGCTGGGGGTTTCCCTAAGCATATCATGGACACTACCATTCTTTAATATTGGGAATATTGTACTCATCTTTTATTAGAAATTCCTTTTATTCCACTGAATAAAGTTGATAGAAACTTTCAATATAATGCCTTTGTGCATGTCCTATTTTAAGTTCTAATAAGATATATGTTTGGGGTTTCCCACAGCAAAACATGGACTTTGCCATTATACTCGTTAGGGAGTGGGGGGGGGGGGGGGGGGGTCATTTTATGAGCTCAGTGCTCACAGTATGTCTTAGTTTATTTATCCTATTTTTTGAAAATGTGAAAATTTCTGAAATTTTAACTGGAATTTATATGAAATTTTAAAATACTCTCATCCAGTTCTGGTAGTTTTGTTTATCATTACAGGCACATACAGACACCATGACAAAAACAGGTTCCACAGCAAAAGATCGTTTCCGTGTTTAACACAGGCTGAAACTTTAATTAGTCAAAAAACATTTATCTCACCCCTCCCTGATGCATTACAGACTTCCTTCATGGTTGTGCAACTGCTTGGACAATTATTACAGGCTGTTTAAAGTGTACACTACCGCAGAACACCAACAGATGACTCTATATTTTAGATTATACCATAGAAGTGCCTATGATATGTTAGCCTGATGTGCATCAGGCAGGTTCATGAATGCCTGCGTTTACAGAGTGCTCTTGTTAAATGCCTGAATTTGCATTCACCTCATGTGAAGATACATGTAAACATGGATACTTTTTTTCTGAATTATAAGACTATGTCAATGAAGTGCTAGGTTTCTGTGTTGATTATTTGTGTTGAAACCTTTTTTAATTATTCCCTGTGGCTCTCTTATGTCATGTGGTACAGAGTGATTGCATTTAATTATTTATTTGTTTATTTTTGTATGTTAAACAGAGCAGTTCCATAATCCCTTTGTCATTGATACAGAAGAGGGGAAGGAGAGATAACTCTTGTTTTTTGTGGGTTTCATTGGTGTGTGTGTTTCAAGCATGTCCCACATATTTGTTAAGGATTATGCTGAAGTAGGAACTCATATAAAAAATAAGATGTAAACCCATCATTTATTTAGAAGATTAATTTTTTCCTACCTTTTCTGCAGAAATAGCATTTGTTGTTTCACATATTACATGTAGAAATGATATTTTTTATAAAGGATTGTATTTGAGAGTTTTGGCTTCGATATTTTGAACTCAGTTTAACCTTCATATTTCTGACCTGCATTAATTTGTATTCAACTGTTGATTGTATAAAATGTACACTTGAACATGGACTCTGGTGTAAAACATTGTGATCTGTTCCATGTATAATCCTATGTGTTTACGACTATGTATTCCCCAGCATGTTTTGTCCTGTAGTTGCTATGTGTATTAAAGGATGAATGAAAGGCTACATGTGGAATTTTTATAAGGGATGACTGGTGGTTGAAGGATGGTGTTGTATGCTTCACAGATATAATACTGCTTAGTTAACTCACTTGGCTCCAAAAAAATTTCTTTGATACATTTTGTTTTTTTTCTTGATGTAAGCTCATGAATAAATTCCCTTTTTCATGCCCTTTTGAATCACTTTATTATGAGCAAACAAACGGAAAGTTTTCACGTTTTTTTTTCTTTGCTCCCTGTTTGATAAATTGTGTATCAACAGTTAGTTGATGAACATGGAAAAATTGAAGTGCATTTTTTTTCTTGATCCATTGTTAGTATGGTAGTGTGTTATTGTTGATATGATTTAATTGAAGATATTGATACATAAACCATGAAAAAATAAATACAGAGAAAATATATTGTCATATTCTTTTTTTAAAATCATCTTGAAGGTATTTTATCAGGCAGTCTATCCAAGTGGATGTTTGATTGTTTTGTAGACATGGTTTGATTTTAAAACAACTGCACCATTTTAGTGCTACATTAGAAGTGCTGTCTGATTTAAAAACAACTGCACCATTTTAGTGCTACATTAGAAGTGCTGATTTAAAAACAACTGAACCATTTTTAAATTAACAGTACAATAATGTAACCTTTATTTTTACACTTTTATAAAACTTTATTGTAAAGATGCCAAACACATTAGATCGATAATAGTTATCCTAAACCACAATGCCATGCCACTTTTACTGGAATCAGTAAGTTATCTATACGGAAGCCCATAGGACCTATCAAAAATAAATTTTGAATTCGATATAACGAATTGTCGAATTTGATTTGTTATATCAATTATAACGAATTTTACTCTGTAATAAGTTGAATTCGTTATAAAAATCCAAAATTTGTTTTACTGAATTAAATTCGTTTGTACGAATTCGTCAATTTGTAATATCGAATTCAAAAATATTGTACTATATACCCTAACTGTCAAATTCAACAATTTGTTATATTGAATTCAGATATGTTTTTTGATAGGTCCTAAATTGGCTTTGAATTCATTGTGACGGTCAGATGGGTTCGATCGCCGGTGGCCAGATAGCTCTGGTCCAGGGTCTTGGTACGGTCCGTCGCATTTTTTCTTCTTTCCTGTACATTTGGTGCCGTGACTAAGGGTGTTCAGGTGAAAGATGTGTCGGGGAAGAGCCTGGGTTGGTGTGGAGCCCGAAGATCTTTGAGGAGGGAGGAATATGGCGGTCAGGCGGGTGGCCAGATAGCTCAGTTGGTAGAGCACCTTACTGGAGATTCAGGGGCCCGGGTTTGAATCCCGGTCTGGTTCTTCGCATTTTTCTCCTTTCCTGTTACAAAGTTTTCTACCCTTAAATGTAAGATCGTTAATCTAATGTTTATGAGACAATCTGAAGTAGATCAAAGTATTCTTAACATTACATAATTATATTTTAGACCAAATAAAGTACACGTAATTGACAGTATTTACATGTGGTTTACCAGTGTAAGTAAACAACAGTGATTTCTGCTCACTAACATCCATTGTCTGAGAACATTTTTTTTCCTTGGAAAATACCGGCAGGTACCCTGTTGAAAATGATCTAGATAAAATCAGTATGTACACCTTTATATAATGTTCGTAACGTCCAAAATGAAAAAAAAATAAATCGTTATAGTTTTTAGAGCTATCGTTTATCAGTGCTTCTTCACAAAAAAGAGTAATTGTATCAACTATCAAAATAAAAGCTTCTTACAACAGACTTGACCAATATTTCAAAGACCATGCATGTGTCTGTATTTCACAACTGATTAAAGTGATTGAGGAAATTATTGTTGAAAGTATCTGAAGAGCACATCAGCCAAGACGAGAGAGAGAAGTCCATAAAAAGTATGTTACGAGTCCCATCAGCCATTGTCAAAAGATGGTCCACTTCAACATTTCTTGGAATTTCACTTTTATACTGCTCTTTAAAAATAAATAAGAAAGCATGGAATGAAAATTATCCGTGTCTTTTTGTGTAAACGACAATGCGCGGAAACACATGAATATTTTGGAGTCCATTTCATTGGTGTTTTATGTAAAACGATTGACAGAAATCAACGGCACAGGTTGTCCAATTTCAAAGTCCAAGAGAAATTTTTAAGCGCATTAAGGATGTGCAACTGCAGACAATCCAACACCAGCTAAACCCCACTTGATAAAAAAAAATACCCATGCACACATTCCCAAAACGTTGTTTTCAGAGCCACAATCATGAACTTTTTCCAAAAAAAAAAATACTGTTGACAATTAACGGTTTACATGAATAAAATTATTCAGTTGGAAGAGGAAAAGTTCTGAGACTTGTACATGTATATGTATTTTTTCCGGCTTATATGCATATGCTTTTTTATATGATAATAAATTCTCCCTCACATCAAATTATCCCATCCTTCTCGTGTTGTGAATCACAAGGAACGAATTGCAAGATAAACGTTATTTCCTTAATTCCACAATCGGACCCATGTCGTGTGACCATACCTGTAAAGTATGAGATTAAATTACACAAATATGTTTTGGTGATTATTTCCGTCTCTCTTAAGCGGATTTGGTTTGCTACCCTGCTTTTAATACTCCTGTTTGTCCGTACAGAAAATGTCATTGAAAAATAACTGCTCGACGCAAAGTGCTGATGTTTTAACCACAGTTGCATGGGCAGAAATGCATCCATCCAATGACGATCGTTTCCAAAACTAGGAAGATATCATGGGTTGTTTGTTCTGCAAACAAAAGACGGACATCTGGAATGACGATGTCCAGGGGTTTGACAATTTTGCTCTGGACGAGAGAGAGGTGTCAGGTCGAACTTCGCAGACGTTTGACGTCATAAAGGCGGCACGTCGTAGACGGTGCTCTAGTGAACGCAGCGGGATCTGGATGAACCTTGATAAACATATATACCTAGGACGTGATAATAAAGGGACCCAGACAACTGTGAACACAACGTCAGAGATGGTTCAGACGATTGTGAACACTACGTCAGAGATGGTTCAGACAGATCAGGTGTGGAAAATGTACGATGACAAAGTCACGCAAACTAGTGACAATAGCAATGATACCAACGATAATGGTGTGACGATAAAGCTTAAATCAAATAATGCTAATGAATATGCCACGTGTGAAAAAGTGAATGGGGTAGATTTAAATATTGTAGATAGTATTGAAATTGTAGCTGAAAACAACCTTACGGAAGATAATCAAAAACGCAGTATTGTGCCTAATAATGACGGTACAAATGAGAGTAAACATGAAGAAGATATTCAAGGAACTACTGTATGTGGTACTGACAGTGCCGAGGAGGATTACCTCAGGGAGGATAATAAAGAGTCCGGTGTTAGTACTATAAACAGCCAGGACAGTTCAAATGAGAGTACTCGTATAGGGGAAAATCAAGGGCTTGGTGTTCTGAGTGAAACAGATTGTTCATCTGGGAGTATTCTTGCGAAAAATAAACTAGAAGTATGCTTACCACTCCAAGACGAAAAAGAAGTTGGAGCCATAGTTAGTAATGTAAGTGAACTACGTGTAATTAATAGAAATGTATAGTTGAAAATTGAATTTCAAAGTAAAGATTAAAACCTACGTAACGGTCAACCAATTTCAATCAAATTAAGAATCCAGTTCTGATATTGAAAATAAACGTCCCCTAGATCCAAGTGACATGCCCAAGGGTGAGGGTATTTTAAAAATGCGGTTGTGCCCCCCCCCCCCCCCGCTGAAATTGCTTCCTACAGGCCCAGTAAACTCTTTTAAAAATGAATTCGGAAATTGCTATATAGTGCATCAGTTTAACATGCTTAAGTCCAGAACATTTTAAAAGATAAGTAAATATTTAAACAAAACGTCTGATTGGAACAGATAGCATTACCAAATTCTAGAGAAAGCTTCATGTGGCAAGAAAATCGACACATTTTGATCGGATTTCAGAATTTCGAAAATGAGAAAAAGAGTAACCCTAAGGGATGATGAAGTTCAAACTTCTAATATTCTTATTATGCATCATTTAATGGTGAGAAAATATATCCAGTAGTTGAAAATGATGACCTAAAAGCAATAATTTTGAAAGGTCCGAAGTACAGGGAGCCCCGATCTCTCAACTGGCACCAGAACTTCATTGCTATTATAAATTCTGTCGAGGATTATGCCATACGATGGGCGAAATATGGAGAGAAGATCTGAACACTTCGTCAGAATAGATTTAAGTGTTTTAGAATATATTCCCACGAAGCCGAATTTATTCAAAAACTTCATGTTTCATATTTAGTTGTTTTACTAACTACTTAGTATACACGATATAATGGCCACCAATAACTAAACTGTATGACAAACGGGATGACTTCAGCTTTTCCATTGTCAACTTTCCTTATTTATGTAGCAATATTCCAACATCAGCTGCATATTGTGTTTATGTTTTCCAACGGATTTGACATGCAAGAGCATGCTCTTAATAAGATCAAAACCAAGACAAGCTATTGATAAATAAGTGGATTTTACAAGGGTTTCAACAACCCCGTTTAAAGTAAGCTTTTCGCAAGTTCTACGGTCGTTATAATGACCTTACTTTTAAATAGAGCACATCGTTGGTGACATGCGAGAGCATGCTCTTAATAAGATCAAAACCGAGACAAGCTATTTGATAAATAAGTGGATTTTACAAGGGTTTCAACAACCCCGTTTAAAGTAAGCTTTTCGCAAGTTCTACGGTCGTTATAATGACCTTACTTTTAAATAGAGCACATCGTTGGTGACATGCGAGAGCATGCTCTTAATAAGATCAAAACCGAGACAAGCTATTTGATAAATAAGTGGATTTTACAAGGGTTTCAACAACCCCGTTTAAAGTAAGCTTATCGCAAAATCTACGGTCGTTATAATGACCTTATTTTTAAATACAAACCATCTTTGGGTCGTATTTTGTCTCACATGTTTCATACCATTTGTTAGGTCATTGCTTTTATAATAAATTTGACACTATGGTGTACTCCGTCTACCTGATCATTACATGGGGCTCACGGCGGGTGTATCGGTCGACAGGGGATGCTTACTCCTCTTAGGCACCTGATCCCAGGGATTCTAGGGATCCGTATTTTTGCCCTGTTATCGATTTGTTATGTTAACTGGATTTATGATATTGATTACTGTTCGTTATCTTCACCTTTTACATTAAAGAAACTATTAGAAAGTTAAAATGTAATATGCGAACCCTATATCCTTCCGATTTCACTAAATCGGAAGTAATAAAAGAATTAGATAGTCTACATGAACAATATGTCATGGTTCCAGCAGTCAACGCTTGTTGCAATATCGTCTTTGTTTGTAAGGTTCATTATTACAATTTATTACATTGTATTTAAGAACTTAACTTCTTGTAGAAGTTTTAAGTCTACATTTGATATCCAACATATACTCGCAGTTCACGTTCTAAGGATGAAATTCTTCAAATTTACATTTCAGTCTTTTAAAACTTTAACACGCCAGTGAACGAAAGTGAATTCGATCTACTCTTCCTAGTATACTAGATTCCTGAACTTAAAAAAATCCCTTACAAACAAAGATGCATTACCGGTTCCAGCAACTGCTCCACCAAGCACCTATTTTTATCCTTAAGAAAATATTACATTATTATATTATGTAATTGCTATAAAGGAGAAAATTCAGACGTGGTGTAAATCAGATGTGGATTCTCAAAACTCCAAAGAACTTTTACAAAATTTAAAATCGTTATCTTTTCAAAAGTCAGTACCATCAAAATGTACATGGATGACTTTTCTACATTTTATACAACCATTCCTCTCGATAAATTAAAAATAAGGTTTTTTTTTATATTATAGACAACTGGTTCTTCAATAAAAATGGTACTCGGGAATTTTCTTATATATTGATTGGTCATCAACAAAATTATTTTCTTTTTTAATTTTTGAAATAAAAAATTACTCTGATTCTACACATAAGTACATGTACTCTGAAGTTTATTTTAAAAGGATGCTAGAGTTCCTCATTGACAACTCTATGTAGTCTTTAGAGACCAGGTCTACCATCAATCTAATGGAATTCCGATGGACACTATTATGCTCCTTTATTAGCCGACCTATTTTTATATTCCTATGAAGCAGAATTTACTAAAAAAACTTCTACATGAGAAAAAGAAAATACTTGCTGTGGTCTTCAACTCGACATTAAGATCTATCGAAGACGTTTTATCAATTAACAAATAACAATATTTACTTTCATTCACATGTCTAATCGATATATCCCAGTAAACTTAAAGTAAAAGACACCACAGTCTGTCACATCAGTTTCATATTTGGATGTTTTACTGACTTTTTACGATAACGGCTAACTAACAACTAAACTATATGAAAAACGAGGTGACCAGCTTTTCCATCGTCAACTTTACTTATTTATGTAGTAATATTCCATTATCACCTCTATATGGTACGTATGTCTCCCAACTTATTTGATAGTCAGAAGCATGCTCCGAGTACGATCGATTTTTAACCTAGCTTACTGACAAATAAGTTGATGTTACAGGAATTTCAACAACCTCGTTTAATGGCAACATCTTGTAAATTCTATGGTCGTTATAATGACAATATACAACCTATCTTTTGGTCATATTTTGACTGACATATTTTCTACCAATTGTACGCCTTTGTTTTCATACTAAATTTGACTAATCCGTCTACCTGATCAATACATAGGGCTCACGGCGGGTGTCACCAGTCGACAGGGGATGCTTACAATTCTTAGGCATCTGATCCTACTTTTGTAATTTTCAGGGGTCCGTGATTTATGCCAAGTTCAGAGATTTGTATTGTTGTAGGTTTTTTTTATTGATCACTGTTTGTTATCTTCATCTCTTTCATTTTAGCTTTCAACGAAAATATGCAATGGGGATGTTGCCGTAGAATTGCACCCTGCACATCAAGAGGATTTAATTCAAGAGGAAGACGTGCACATTGAACTAAAGTAACCAAAGAGATTTGAACAATTGAAATCACCACGAGTACGTTGTGTCTTTTGTTTCATTGAAAACTTCATGGAATATGATTGCAAATTGGAATATGTATTAAATACTATTAATACATTAAGAACGATCCACAGACATTCCAAAAAACCCTGTTATAGGGCACTTAAACCCAACTGAATAAATTATTGGTAGTGAAGAATATTCATCATAGAGAACACATAAGTCTACTCTTGAAGAGATTCAAAAAAGTCTGGTGGCAGTGATCGCAGCAGCTCATCATCATGTTTTATGGATGGAAATTCTTCTTCCAAACTCAAGTCTTGCTGAACAAGAGATATCCGCTGAGTTTGACGCTGCAATAGTAAATTAATCGATGTGACACCAAAATATGAAGAATTAATGCACAATGCAATTGCTAGTATTCATTTTTTATATCTTGTGTATATAGGCTAAATTAAGAGTTGTGATACTGAATATACTCATCATACATGTACAGCGGTTTACATGTATATACTACATGTATATATGAATAAATTTACGTTTATACTATATATGAATAAATTTGCCAATATATGCATCAATTTTTCACTTACTGCAAGTTGTTCGATACAGAGTCCACTGTCATCCTGAATATTACCTACATACAAATGTGATTAAAAATTGAATTTATTATTTTTTTTACGCCCAAATTGACTGCATTAATATGAATACTCTAATTATAGATACATGTATTACCCAATATATGTCATTAAATAAACGAATGCACATAAAAATGAGACAAAATTACTAGCTTGAAGTCTTTTATTCCTGATGGAGTGTCTGTTCGGTCTCAATCGGACAATGTCCTCAGTCTATAAAATAAAAACAGAAAGGAAGATCTATATACTGATGTATACCTGTACAATAAAATACAATTATGATTATTATTTGTGTTTTACCTCAGCAGAAGTAATGGCATGTTCCTCGGGAGTTTGGTCATTTAGGACTTTGTTTGGTTTTTCTGAATGCATAAAATTAAAAACCTGAAGAACTTCTCTTCCTGAACATATTACAATGTATTAAACAAAATAGCATGCATTTGAAATGTTTTAATCTTTAAATATTGCATTTGATTAAATAAACATAATTTGTTTTAAAGCACACCACTAAATTTCAGCAACTAGTATATCTAAAACAATTTTGATAAATATATTCTGTATATATCTACGGATAGCTAGTATTTCTGTGAAAAATGATAAAGCCTTTTTATGACACCAATAACTGTTTTTGGTTGTTATCAGTCATATTAAGTATCAGAAAAGGAAAACATTCGTATTATTCATCAATATCTCTTACCCTCTTTGTCTGATTCATAAAACTTTTTCTGCAGTCTTTTCAGTAACTTTCTCGTTCCTTCCAGTATCAGAGAGTCTGTTATATCTGAATGAAGTTTCTCCTCCTTGCCTTGTGTCCTTTTCAGGATCTCCTTCAGGTAATGCAGAGGTGAACACACGTCATTTATTTCGTCTGCAAGAATTTGGTCCCTGTCTTTAATGACCACATGAGCTGTACCCAGAGGAACCTCGTTCACATATATCGTCACCGTCCGCTTACCACAGCCACAAATGTCTGACGGAAATTAGAGTATAATTGAACACAACATATGTTGTTTCTACTAAGAAATATCAACTGATCCGATATCGCAGATTTTTTTTTCAATTTAATAAAATTCTATTTATTTATGATCATCTGTGAAATTATCTTAACGTTATAGTATTACATAATAATATGTATACTAACCAGTAACTCTGAATGCTGAGGTATAAGGATTGACCCACGTGGTTTTAATCATATTACTGTTTATTGCTACTATTACAATATCCTCCGATTCTATTTTGGAATTGAAAGAAATGAACACATCCTGGTTCTCCTAAAATTAAATTCGTATTAGTCCGACTGACCATTGAAATGTGACAATGACGGTATATTTTAAAATCAAACAAATTTATATTATTTGAAGTTATACACTCTTGGTCACACTTTATCTTCATTTTCTAAAATCTCCATATTAATCTTGTAATGACTATTTTAAATACTGAGCAGAGCATTTGTATTTGTAGCAATGTGTTTTTCGATGTTAAGCCTTGAAAATGAACAACCATTTACGTTTAATTTGACAATTATAAAATTTTTAAGCTAAATTAATTGCATAAAGGGGATGGGCGAACATAGCGTGCAGAAAGCCTATAGCTTCAGATATATAAAAATCATGTTCAGTTTGTGAATTTAGTATTTAGAGTGAAGTTCTCATTATTGAAATTTATGAAATTATGATAAACAAAACTTTTCTGAGGAAAATTTTCTCGGCAAAATGTATTCTTTTATTAAAAAAATTAATGAGGTATTCGTGTGGTTCGAACCCTAGCAATAAAAATCCTGAGTATCATTTTCTTTCGAGACTAGCACGCTAACCACTAGACTACACAAGTCTTGATGAAGTGTGGCATTTAAATCATGTTTGTGATATGACCCTTGACTTAATGGACTTCAAGTATTTCTCGAAAAGATGCGAATGTTATGTCATAAAAGTATATTTTTAAGGTATAGTGGGTCATTGCTCCACATTTTTGGTAACAAAAAATGTATATTTTTATGC